TTCTGGTGCGGATTTCCGAATTTAATCCAACGTATGATCCACTGCAGTACCCCTTGATTTTTTGGAACGGGCATGATGGTTATCACTTTGATATATATCAAAACGGAGGGCAAAGCGCTAAAAAGGTGTCATGTATGCAATTCTACTGCTACATGCTCATGATTCGCGACGGTACTAAGAACCTATTGCTGTACTATCGTGAATTGTTCCATCAATTCGTGGTCGACATGTACGCCAAAATTGAATCTGAACGATTGGACTTTATCCGTTACAACCAAACAAAATTGCGCAGTGAATCTTACTTCCATTTGTGTGACGCGATGAATCAGGCAGACGCGGATCCTACTCAAATTGGGAGACGTGTCGTCTTGCCTGCTACGTTCACTGGTAGCCCGAGACACATGCACAAATACGCTCAAGATGCCATGGCGTATGTGCGCAAGTACGGCCGACCTGATCTTTTTGTTACGTTCACATGCAACCCCAAGTGGGAGGAAATACAACGTCATCTATTCCAAAACCAAAAACCTACACATCGTCACGATGTGATCGCTCGGGTCTTTCGTCTCAAGCTTAAAAAAATGATGGAAGTCATCTGGAAGGGAAAAATATTTGGTGACACCATTTGCCACATGTATTCGGTGGAATGGCAAAAACGTGGGTTACCCCATGCGCACATCTTGGTTTGGTTGGCTACAAAAATACGCCCCAATCAAGTGGATCTCATTATCACTGCTGAGATCCCAGATTCCAACATCGACCCTGCTTTGTACACAACTGTCACTACAAACTTGCTTCATGGTCCATGCGGAAGGGACAATCCTTCCTCACCGTGCATGCTAAATGGCGTTTGTTCCAAGCGCTACCCCAGGCAATTCATTGTCGAAACACAAACTGACAAAGAAGGGTATCCTTTATACAGAAGACGAGATTCCAACCATGGTGGTCATACATTCAAAAAGACTATCCGTGGGAAAGAATTTACGTACGACAACCGATATGTTGTGCCATATTCGCCGATTTTGTGCAACATGTTCCATGCGCACATCAATGTCGAATTTTGTCAGTCTGTGAAGGCTATCAAATACATTTGCAAGTATGTCTACAAAGGCAGCGACCAAGCTGTGTTTGAGGTCACTGGAGGCACTGAAAATTTTGACGAGGTTCGACAGTTTCAACAGGGCCGCTACATAAGCAGCAACGAGGCTATATGGAGAATCTTCAGCTTTTCCATCCATGATCGGTTTCCTGCCGTTGTCCATCTTGATGTGCATCTAGAAAACGGTGAACGCGTGTATTTTACAGCCGGCAACGTCGACAAAGTCCTTCAAGTGCGTCGCAATACTACGTTGACTGCATTCTTCTAACTTTGCGAAAGCGATGAGTTTGCGCGTACGCTACTGTACTCTGACATTCCGTCGTATTACACTTGGAAGAACTACACTTGGAACCGTCGTCTCAAGGGCCTACCAGTGGAAGGCTGGCCTGGCGTTTGCAAGGACCACGCATTGGGTCGCCTCTATACCGTTCATATGTCCCAAACGGAATGCTATTATCTCCGTTTGCTTTTGATTAACGTCAGAGGCCCAACATCCTTTGACTCCATTAAAACGGTCGATGGACAACTTTGTGATACGTTTAAACAAGCGTGCCAAGGTTTGCACCTTCTGGAAAGCGAACATCATTTGCACCAGGCCATGCAAGAAGCAGTAGACTGTCGAGGACCGTCAAAAATCCGCGATCTATTCGCTATTTTTTTGACTACGTATACTCCAGCTAATGCGAGAGACCTGTGGGATGCTTACAAAGATCACATGGCTGAAGACATTCTATTTCGCTATCAAAATGAGTCCAACGACCAAGGACTTAAATTGTCCGATGCTATGACTAATGAGGCTTTGATCTTGATAGAGAACATCACTTTGTCTATGGCGGGCCGCCCGTTGGAACACTTTGGTCTGGATACACCTCGACGAGACCTTCCAGTGCCCCTTTGTGCTGAAATTGTTCGGGAGCAGAACTACGATACTATTGCTCTCTCACATTTAGTGGACCACAATCTGCCTCTATTGCAGAATGTGCCTGCGCAACATACGGCATATGTATCATTGATAGAGAAGATCTACTCCGGACAAGGTTCCGTCACCTTCCTCGACGCACCTGCTGGCACTGGGAAGACGTTCCTCATCAACACCATATTAGCCTCTGTCCGGTGCAAAGGAGATATTGCGTTAGCAACAGCTTCTTCTGGCATTGCTGCTACTCTTATGGATGGGGGACGCACAGCTCATTCCACATTCAAGCTACCACTGAATTTGACACGTGAAGATGCCACTTGCAATATCTCCAACCAAAGTGGTACTGCCAAATTGTTACGTGCTTGCAAAGTCATTGTTTGGGATGAATGTACGATGGCACACAAAAGAGCTGTAGAACTCCTCGATGACACTTTACGCGATATCCGCGAACCCCGTCAAGTCATGGGAGGAGTCTGTGTCATTTTATCAGGGGACTTTCGTCAGACACTGCCTATCATTACCCGGGGAACCATGGCGGATGAGGTCCATGCGTGCTTGAAGAAAAGCCGCCTTTGGACCCAGGTCGATAAGCTAAAGTTGACTACTAACATGCGCCTATTGACCAGTGGGGATTTGTCGGCTCAACGTTTTGCCGACACATTACTCCACATTGGAAATGGGACTATGCAGCCAATCCATAACGATGACATTACACTCCCTATCGACTTTTGTCATATGTTGTCGTCTCCTAGCGACTTAAAAGACAAAGTCTATCCTGATATCGCCACCAAACCTATGGGAGATGATTTGTGCACTTGGCTATGTGCACGAGCTATACTGGCACCCCGGAACGATGATGTCAATGCAATCAATGCTCATATTTTGGGGTTGCTGCCACAGCCTGCTGTGACGTACAAGTCGTTCAACAAGACACTTGAAAATGACGATGCAGTACGCTTTCCCACTGAATTTCTTGACTCTCAAGAATTGCCAGGCATGCCTCAACACAAACTCACGCTGAAGGTTGGCGCACCTATACTTTTGTTGCGAAATCTCAATGCTCCAAAACTCTGCAATGGTACAAGACTTTGTGTCAAGTCTTTGTTTCCAAACTTAATTGAAGCAGTTGTGTTGACTGGCAGTCACGAAGGGGTTGAAGTGCTATTGCCACGGATCCCCATTATTGCCGAAGATGTCCCATTTCCCTTCAAGCGAACGCAATTCCCCATTCGTTTGGCTTATGCAATGACCATTAACAAATCTCAAGGTCAAACATTCCTAATTGCTGGGATTAATCTACAAACGCCTTGCTTTGCCCACGGCCAACTATACGTGGCCTGCTCTCGCGTCGGATCCGCCAAACACTTATTTGTCTACGCACCTGGCGGTATCACGAAAAACATTGTGTACCCACAAGTTCTCATTGATTAGTTTCTAAACTTCCGTAATCAATTATCTTTAAACACTTCACTTAAACACACTCTTTACTTACCTTTTTCTAACACTCCGTAATAAATTATTCGATACACTTTAACATCTTTCTCTGTCCCCACTTATGTACCCGCCACAAGCGCAACGCGTGCACATGCAAACCACAAAATACAAAGCCTCCAACTCAGACAACACGTGAGGACCCGTGAAACGGCGGGTTTTACTGCGAATTGCCAAAGTTGTCAATATGTGTGTCTGTTCAACATGTTAACCGTATTTCCCGACATGCAACAAACAGCAAATTTCGCATGGGGCTACTTTGCAGACTGTACACCATGCAAACATTCTCAAAATACACTTTTTTTAGGGGAGGGGGTGAGCTCAATAATGCATATATTTTGGTACACCAATTGACCTGTGACGTCAAATATGTCATGTGACCCGCGCATGTGTAAGCGTAACGCATTGCAGTGTCGTGGTTAGCGCGCCGCGCTACGAACCCGGCCACCCAAGTTCCATTCCCGCTCACGGCCACCACCGGTGACGATTATTTGAACCGGTCGTGGGCCTACCCTAGGTCCACTCAGCCTCAAAACGAGTAACTGGTGTGGCGTATGAACATCGCCACTGGGGAGACAAAGGCGGCCTGGCGTCGTGTATCCAAGACCCGGGCGAAGCCGGGTAGTACAGCTAGTATTCTGATAAAAAAGTGTTAATATGTAACTAGATTTAGACCCTCATTTGGAACAACCCTGTGGGGTCTGAAACTAAACGGTGCATCAAAACACTAGCATGAATTACTGCAAACCTTCAATAGTACTGCTATGAAGACCACCCTCGAAAATTTGAAAGCTCAACCCCTCTCATAGAAGCAGTGGCATCACACCCTCTTCACCCTCACAAGAACGGATCATTAAAGCTTAAACGCACTCGCAAAACGAGAGTTTGTGGCCAGATGGTCCTCAGTCTTCCTGAATCCGGCATGAAGGTGCGCATGGTGGGAGGTCGGGGGGAGGGGACGAGCGTTCGAGGTATTACCCCACAGATAGACATGAGGTAAGGGGCCGTCCATAAATGACGTCACGCGATTTTGTACGATTTTTGACCCCCCCCCCCCTTCGTCACACGGCGTCACAAAAAGTCAGACCCCCCCTCAAATATGACGTCACAAAGCTCTGCCCCCCGCCCAAATAAAACATGCTTCAAATCGCTTTAAACTATTGTCCTTGTAGTGCGTATTTAATGTGGCGCTGCACTCTGATGTTGTAGAAAACATTTATTAAAAATTCTACTTAATTAAGTAGAACGTGCTGTCTATTTAAAGTTGCGCATTTTTATGTGACGTCACATTTCTCACCCCCCCCCCTTCATCACACATCGTCACGAATGTCTAACCCCCCCCCCACCCAGGTGCGTGACGTCATTTATGGACGGCCCCTAATCACACGGCGGGATTCATATCGACGATAAATTCACTTGGCGCGTGTCGATTGCTTTATTTGTTAGACCTTGTTTTTGTACACTTCTCCCTCCCCCACTCTTTTCTCCCCCTTATTTTTGCTCATTTTCCCTTCCCTTCCCATTATGAAAAGTCCATGCTCCTGCTCGCAGTTCTTACGCAAGTGGGGTGGTGAACCCATTTTCTCTCCCTTTCCCCCCAACCCGAGAGCAGCGTTTTATGCTTAAGCCCACGGGTATTGTGTCCCCTTCCGTTTGTATTGCTCGTGCTCTGTACCGGGCTCTTTTCAGAATAGAAACAACAATAAAAAAAGCTCAGAGCGCAAGTGAAGCCCAGTTAAAACTTTATGAGATTGCACTCCATCACCAGCTATGTGCGCTGGCTTAATCAGTAATACTGTACACTTGGCATGTTGGATTCACCTAAAGTGCAGACTGTCATTGTGTACCGGTCTACAATATGGACTCCAGTGTATAGTCTATATGGACTGTGTTTCCAGTATATAATGTGGATTGTCAGTAGAAAAAATCTACATTGCGCCTTGTTAGTTTATAATCACTGTGGACTTCCAGAGTATACAGTCTATGATGTGGACTGTCTGTGCTCGCGCCAAGGGCCGGTCACGCGCTCCACACCAGGCGCCACGCGCTCCACCAGCATCGCGGCACCGCTCAGAGGGTCCACGACGGCCTGCACGTGCACCACAGCCGAGGTCTGCGCGCCTCGCGAATCTGAAAAACACAGGCGTCTGTCTGTCAGCACGAGCGGCGGCGATGCCTTCTGTCATTGCACGTTGAGTCGTGTATGGGAATCGGCGGGCTGAAACGCGAGCTTCTGTCAGCACTGGTGGGAAGACCTGTCAGCCAGCAGCATGCCTATGGGTGAGTCTATGGCTCACAGAGACATCCCATTGATTCGCATAGACACCCATCAATTCACTCAGGACACAGACTCTCAGAGACCCTCAGACTAACATAGAGACCGAAATAGACTCCCACAGGAACCCAGACACTCACACAGCAACAAAAGCAGAAACAGAAGCGGCAGTCGCAACAGCAAATAACAGAAGCAATAACTGCAACAACAATAGCAACAATAGCAACCTTGCGATGGCAACACTGCGACTTCTGCTGCTGTTGTCCAGCTGCTTCCGGCCGGGTCCTGAACTTGCGAGACTCTGGTTGAGCGAACCGAACGGTCTGGTCAAGCAATGCCTGTCCTCTTCTTTGGAGAATGGGGGGGGCATACCAGTAATTTCCCTTGGCTTGGATCGACGAACCAATTGTATCTGACCCAAATGTCGCCGATATTGTGGTGGGACTCACTAGCGGACTTGTCCCAGTATCCAATGGGAGTGCTGATCTGCCGACCTTCTGGTTCAAACTGCTCGAGTTCCACACTGACCGTGCTACGATCCGCTGTGGAAATACAAACCCCGAACCGACCTTGTTCGTCACTCGTTGCAATGCCTCGCACACTTTTGTGCTGCAGGTCTCATCAGTTCGACTCCTCTAGATTCACACGATCACGTAAGAGCACCTTCATCGCCATACTGCTGTCGGGCATGGATACATACCCTTGACCAGGGCTCAACTATGGATTGGTCAATGCACACTCTATGGTCAATAAGACAACGCGGATACACGATATGATCAACGATTGTCGACTAGAAATATTGGCCGTTACCGAAACCTGGATATGATGACTCACAAGACATAATTAAGCATGAGGCTGCACTTAACGGATAAGCTATTGCACATCAGCACCATTGCGAAAAGCCTGGCACCAGCAGCCCGCATTGTGGTGGGATAGCACTGATTCACTGTGAATACGTGTGAAAGTCCTGAGCCACTCAACAATCACGTCATTCGAGCTGCTGCTTGTGAAAACAACGAACAGGATGCGAGGGCTTATGCTCACTGTCATCTATTGACCACTGTCGGAATTCTTTTCCGAGCTTTCAGTTCTGCTAGGTTGTGGATCACTTGGGTCTCGCTGAATTTTTTGTGGTGATCTGACCGATTGGTTATTGTGGTGATATCCACAGTGATTGCGCCAAGATTATCGACAGTCAGTTTAACCCAGCACGTCAGTGGAGTATCATGTCACTCTGATCATATCTATCATATCTGCCGATGCCATAACTTTGACCAAACGTTATTGAAGACGTGGGTATTTCACATCACAAGCTCGTGATGTGCAAAGCGCCATTACGGATTATATTATTTGACCGACCGTCACAATGATATCATACAGAGACTGGAAAGGCCTGGGCAATGATGATTTCCATCCGTAGATCTTACCATGATCGCCGTGTATAGATTCTGCATCGATGGTTGATTCATTTGCAGCTCACTTAGAAAATGACATCACTGCTATTCTTGATGATCAAGATGATAGTTTCTAACTTGAAGTCAACATTTTCCAGGTCTGCCATCTGAGTTTAAATAACTTGGAACCAATGCACCAAGGTCGGTGGCAGGAGGTGACGATGTTCATCGCACGGCTGCCAAATAAGACATCACTGCTCGACAATGGTCACACATCGATTCAACTCATGATCAGACGTGCTTGCGCCACTGATTGTCTACCTGGCAAATATTTCATTCAGCAAGGACTGTATCTCAGTCTGGTTCAAAATAGCATAGGTAACACCGCTTCTGAAAAAAGTTGGCTTGAGCCTTGGTGACCCCACACACTATCGTCCGAGTATGATTTCAAAGGTAATACAACACATTTCTCTGAAGCGGTTACTTCCCCACGTCACTGCGACAGCCAGATTCAACCCGCTGAGACAGCTGTACTAAATACAGTATATCTGATGACCTCGACAAGATCGTAGATGACCAGTGTGCCGCAGCGTTGGTTGGCCTTGATCTCTCAGCTGCCTTCGATACCATCGACCATGGGATATGCTCATGGGACGGCTAATTTCAAGGTTCGGGTATGACATTGCGGTGGATTGAGTTATAGCTACATGGTCGATCACAGTTCGTCGAGCTGGGTGACGGAAAAAGTCATCGCCTATGCAATGCCTAGTTGGGCCCTTCCAATTTTATCATTGCATGACATCCAGTGCCATTAATATTTTGATAATAGAAAATGGTACACCACAGTCAAGTCAAAGTTAGATATAGAGAGCTTTGGTAACCTGGAATATTGTGCGCGAGGGATTCATGTATGTAAGTTCAACTTCTTTCACACCTTACATAGCGAACCGTGGTAATCGGATGTGTGGGTGCACGTGTGGTTTGCACCAAACGAAATGCAGTTTAATCCAGGAGCATCGGACGTTCTGCTGGTTGGCACTCGGGATCAGGTGAAAACATTTGTGGGAAAACATCAGGTGTGGCAATTTTAGACTCCAGGATTCAATTTTCTGCTGATCTAAAGAACCTCGGCATGATACTCGACCAGAATATAGTCAGGTCCTGAAATTTTCATATCAGGGCTCTACGGCACATTCGACCACTATTGAATCGTGACACAGCCAACACGGTGGCGTATAGCATAGTATTAACAAGTCTCGATTATTGTAACTCACTTCTCTACAAGACGTCTGGCGAAAAACATTACCAATCTGCAGCGTGTACAAGATTATTTGTTGCGACGAGTACTGCAAGATTTAATCATGTCCGTCCAGTGCTCGCTGAGCTGCATAGACTTCCGGTTGCCGAACGAATACATTAGCTTGCACTCTTTACACACAAAGTGCTTGCCACAAAATCTTGCGGATCTCGTAAAGGAGCATAAACCATCACGCAAACTCCGGTCATTCTTGCAGCGATTTTTGGCTAACCATCGAATAAAGACGGTCACTGCATCGTGTGCTTTCAGATGTACTTATGCGGCCGTCTGGAATTCCTCCTTTAAGTTTAGTTTGTTGTCCTTCCCACGCACCACCAATTAGCCAGGTTTGCTGCATACGGTGCGAAAGAAGTTAAACATACATATGTAATAAACCCCGTTGAGACAACGTCGGGAATTCAGAATTCTTTATTAAGTTTCGTCCACAGCTCTCACTACATCCGTTCCTCTACTCCTATTGCTCCTTCACGCTGTTGGCAGACAGCGTGAGAGGGGGAGAGAGAGACTGCCGCGGCCTGCCACGTGGCAGGCTCCGGACCACGGCACCAGCGTAGCTTCCCCCTTCGTTCCTCCGCACACTGACCACGTGCTGTCCTTCTCCGCCCCTTTTAATCCCTGGCCCACGTGATGCCCCGCAGCCAATCCTCAGCCACATCCCTGGAACTTTCCAGTAGCCACTGTACAGCTCCAGGGCCACGCCCCTAACTCGACTCCCCATTGGTTGCGGGCTGAAGCCAGCAGAGCCAATCATCATCCTCCAGGTGTAGCCTTCACATTACATCAGGGCCACGCCCCTGACTCGACTCCCCATTGGTTGTGGGCTGAGGCCGGCAGAGCCCATCCATTATCATCCAGGTGTAACCTCACATTACACATACATAGAGACAAATAGCCTCCCACAGAGACTCAGATACTCACACAGAGACCAAAAGCACCAAAGATAATGGCTGGCATGGAGGGATCGACCCCTTTCAGTGCTCAATGCAGTGACAATAAGAGCGTATCATGTGGCCACGCATTCCGCTTGTCGTTTTCTCTGGGTTTGACGCTGGCGGGGTCATAACGACACATGTGGTCACCCTGATCGGATTCTCAAAGGGGGTGGGGGGGAAGAGATGCTTCACAGCCTCTGAAAAAGACATCAGTAGGGGGGATGTTTGTATTGTGATCCCAAGAGACTGTATGCCCCCCTCACACTTAAAACAGAAAATACTCAATATGATTGTTATCAATGAACTAACTTTGATTGCAAATTAGGTTATTATAATTACTCTTATGCAGTCGTAATACTGTAATATTGTTGATTATTGAAGGATATGTATTACCTGTTACTCATTTCCCAAAACGTAGCCCAATTTAAATGTTTTCTGTTACAAAGGCCACACAGTGTTGCTATTGACACAGTACAAATGTTGAGTTGATTTTTCGTGACTGAGTAGGTGAGTTTGTGAGTGAGTGGATGAGTTTCCGTTTCCCACAGCTAAACCCACCCACAATGCACCAGGTAATCGCAAAAACAACATCCCCAATGCTGATAAATCCCATGCAAATTATTCAATTGGGATCGTGCCGGCCTTTATAGGTGCTGCTACTCACTAACAGCATTTTACCCAACAACCTGTTAGAGGCTATACGGCGAATAATTGTCATCGTACACAGTAATCGGTAGGCAGCAGTCTCCTCGTACAGTTTTACTTTGTGCGCCCGTTTCTGGTACCCATCTACCGCACAAAGCGAGGGAAACCTGTGTCTGCAGTCAACGTGATCTCCCTCCCCATCTTGGTCACGTGAATCGTTCTCAGAGTTCTTCTGGTTTTGCCCTCATCCAAATTAAGAAAACATTTGTTCAGATACTTTGGCTGCTGCTATAAATTCCCATGTGTTGATGATATCAGCCGCTGCTGCTGTTATGAGATATTATCACGTGTGACCACGTTGCTTAACAAGAGCTCATAGCTCACTGGGCTTTACCTGATAAATGTTTAGTTTATAGTGAAATTTTACATACCTCCACGATCTAACTCAAAATAAACGTAATAAAAATATTGGTCGTAAGAGCCTGCATATATAACACAGTTCCGCTGTTTGTGTCGGTTTAGCTATAAAAGGAGGAAACCGAAGAACCCGGAGGAAGTCCACGCACAACATGGAGAAACATACTAACTCCACAAACAAAACAACAAAAACCCCCCGTATCGCCTATATAGATTCTTGGGGCATGTACTGTTAGCGAGCAATCTTAACTTTGGAGCTTTCGTGACTGCAGGAATTATTCTTTGGTTCTTTCGGTAAAGTCACGTATAAAGAAAAAATAATAAATTAAATAATAACATACGACGTTTCGATTGCAACACAAGCAATCATCATCAGGTATAATGAAATAGCGACATAAAATCTAACCAGAAAAAATTATAGACAGACATATAAGCAGACAGATATCACCAAGATACACACAGCGGGCAACACAGGTACAGAGAGGGGTGATCGTCTCTGTGGGGTGGCCTTAAATAGACAGAGGGGGGCGGAGGCAGCGAGAGGGAGGGGTTAGAGACAAAATTTACATGTCAATGAGTACAACAAAAAGGAGTGAGCAGGCTTAGGGGGGGAAAGAGACACACTAAAATTAAATAACCTAGCAAAGTATCGAAATGTTATGTAAAACGACACAGAGAGTCGGTCAACACACAATTAACACATAGCCTGGTCGATTACGTATTTCAAAGATTGCTAAGTTAGAATTTAAGTGTGAAAATTTCAAAGAAAGACAAAACATAAAAACAAGAGGAACGGAGACAAAGCAGAACCTAAGAACGACAAAAAACGAGTGTAGACAGAAAAATTTACACTAAATAAACAGGCAGAGAGAGAGAATAAAAACCCAGAGAGAGAGAAAAAAGGTAAACTTGGAACTTCCCCGTAGAAGTGGTTCAATCTTAACTTTGGAGCTTTCGTGACTGCAGGAATTATTCTTTGGTTCTTTCGGTAAAGTCACGTATAAAGAAAAAATAATAAATTAAATAATAACATACGACGTTTCGATTGCAACACAAGCAATCATCATCAGGTGATATCTGTCTGCTTATATGTCTGTCTATAATTTTTTCTGGTTAGATTTTATGTCGCTATTTCATTATACCTGATGATGATTGCTTGTGTTGCAATCGAAACGTCGTATGTTATTATTTAATTTATTATTTTTTCTTTATACGTGACTTTACCGAAAGAACCAAAGAATAATTCCTGCAGTCACGAAAGCTCCAAAGTTAAGATTGAACCACTTCTACGGGGAAGTTCCAAGTTTACCTTTTTTCTCTCTCTCTGGGTTTTTATTCTCTCTCTCTGCCTGTTCATTTAGTGTAAAATTTTCTGTCTACACTCGTTTTTTGTCGTTCTTAGGTTCTGCTTTGTCTCCGTTCCTCTTGTTTTTATGTTTTGTCTTTCTTTGAAATTTTCACACTTAAATTCTAACTTAGCAATCTTTGAAATACGTAATCGACCAGGCTATGTGTTAATTGTGTGTTGACCGACTCTCTGTGTCGTTTTACATAACATTTCGATACTTTGCTAGGTTATTTAATTTTAGTGTGTCTCTTTCCCCCCCTAAGCCTGCTCACTCCTTTTTGTTGTACTCATTGACATGTAAATTTTGTCTCTAACCCCTCCCTCTCGCTGCCTCTGCCCTCCTCTGTCTATTTAAGGCCACCCCACAGAGACGATCACCCCTCTCTGTACCTGTGTTGCCCGCTGTGTGTATCTTGGTGATATCTGTCTGCTTATATGTCTGTCTATAATTTTTTCTGGTTAGATTTTATGTCGCTATTTCATTATACCTGATGATGATTGCTTGTGTTGCAATCGAAACGTCGTATGTTATTATTTAATTTATTATTTTTTCTTTATACGTGACTTTACCGAAAGAACCAAATAATGTTAGCGAGCACCTATGAAGTCTGGCACGGCACACGAGGTGGTGGGTTCCCAGCACCACCCCCGGCCCAGCCACCTTTGTCTCCCGAGTGGCGATGTCTACATATCGCACCAGGTACTCACTTTAGGCTGAGTCGACCGAGGGGGGGCCCAGGAATGGTTCAGGTAAACGTTACTGGTGTTTTGGTGGTGGCCGTAAGCGGGAATCGAACTCGGGTATCTGCAGGATTCGTAGCACAGCGTGCTAACCGCTAACCACTACTCTACTGCTCCCAACACTATACACACAAAGACAAAGATCCCCCGTGTAGCCTTAACAGACTATAGGGGCAAGTGCTGTTAGCGAGCACCTATGAAGGCCGGCACGGCACACGAGGGGGTGGGTGGCCAACACCACGTCCGGCCGCCTTTGTCTTTGTAGTGGCGATGTTTACACATCGTACCAGGTACTCATTTGCGGCTGAGTCGACATAGGGGAGGCCCAGGCCCGGCTCCAATAATCGTCACTGGTATTGGCTGTGAATCGAAATCGGGTCGCCGGATTCGTAGCGCATGGCGCTAACCGCTGCACACAAGCACTCACTGAAAAATGTGGAGATGCAGGTGTGCGTGGAGGAGTCGTCCTCTTAAAATAAAGAGTTTTTAATTTATCCTATAAAGCCCAGAGAACTATGACCTCTTTATCAGAAGCGAGCTAGCCACAAATGATAGCTCAACGACGTGGCTTATAATGCTTGAGTATACCCCCCCTGCCTCCTTGACAGTAAAGGTCAGGTTACAGAGGGGGCCCCTCTCACTCTGGGTGCCACCCCGCCACTCACGACTCTGAGCCCCTGTGACACGCCCCCCAGTGTCGACTCTTAAAGGCACCTGGCTGGAGAGGTGGAGGAGAAGGCGGAGTTGCGGTGATCCGCTTGAACCTGGAACCGGGGTGGTCAGCCACCTGTTCCCCGAAAACTGATAACATCGTCATGAGCAACATTGTCATCAGTAGCATTAGCAGCAAAAAAATAATCAGCAGTAACACCATCACCAACATTGTCATATTCAGAAGCAATAGTCATAACCAGCAACAATCATGAGCAAGAGCATCACTTTTAACAAAATATGATCAGCAACATCATCAGCAGCAGAATTAACATCACCACTACCTTTTCCACCATCACCACCATTACCATCATTACCACCATCATCACCACCACCACTAAAGACAAAGATCCCCCCTATAGCCTTAACAGACTGTTGGGGCAAGTGCTATTAGCGAGCACCTATGAGAGCCGGCACGACACACGAGGGGGTGGGTAGCCAGCACCACGCTCGGCCGCCTTTGTGTTTACACACCGCACGAGATACTCATTTGAGGCAGAGTCGACCTTGGACCGGTTCAGATAATTGTCACTGGTGTTCGCCGTGAGCGGGAATTGAACTTGGGTCGCCGGGTTCGTAGCGCAGCTACACTCCCCCTCACCCCCATCATCGCTATTACCGCCACCACCAACCGCCGCCGCCGCCATCGATCACCACCATCGCCCTGCTCTTACCGCACGCGAGGAAGGAGATGCCTCTCATGGCCGTTCGACTCAGAGACTCCTCGTGGAAGCCTCACCTCACCCGGATCGCACCGCTCACCTCCACAACCCCTCCCCTCACGCCGCTGTATCTTATTCAGAGTCTCACACCTGGACCAGATCTCCAGCCTCACCTGTCCCCTCGCCCCCTGCTCTGCCCGCCCATGTTGGGAGCAAACTGGAGTCAAACCTGACCCAAGCAGAGACAAACATCCCCCGTGTAGCCTTTAACGAGCTGTCCGGGCAAGAGCTGTTAGCGAGCATCGCCTATGAAGGCAAGTATAGCACACGAGGGGGTGGGTGGCCAGCACCACGCCCAGCCCCCTTTGTCTTCCGAGTGGCGATGTTTATACACACCTACACATGTACAGTACAGTATTCATATGCACATGAACATTTCTGGAATTATCCGATTATTTCAGAACGCAAGCGACCTGTCATGTTGGAATGTAAACCACGACTAAAGCAGCCAAACCAGTCATGCTTTGGAAACGCCATGTTTTTATTTATTTAACTTAAGTTATATTGAGAATGCATCCCAGAGAAGACAGAACGTTTGTAACAGATAGAAGAAAGACGGCTGCGAAAAAAATGTCCGAGTTGGGATATTTGGCCAACTCCAATGAGTAAGTATTACACGTGTAGTGACATCGCGGATGTCACTGTATGGTGCCGGCCCTAGAGGGGCATGGCGTGCGATGTACTCACATCGCGGACATCACGTATGCAGCAGCATCGTGCATGTCACCAAGTATTGCCGGCTCTTCCAAGGCACGGCGTGCGATGCACCGTCATCACGGAAACCCCGTAGGTGGGTCTCGTACCAGCATAGTGAGGGCTTGGTGAGCGCTGGGATAGTGCAGTGGCACCATGCGTGTCGTGCAATGTGGACTCCCACCGGAGGGAGTGGGAGAGTGTCAGCCCAGGGACAGGGTTACCCTGGGCCATGGCACTCTGCTTGGCCCCGAAAGCACGTGACTGGTAAAATCTACAAGGGGGGCCCCAGCTGGGGGCTAAGGGGTGGTCACGTGTCCGGGAAAGTTGTCTCAAGAAGTGTCGAGAGGGAGCCAGAGCTTTCTCGGAGGTGGGCGGGGTCAAGGGCGGAGCCGGCCCTGACCCGGGAGTATATAAGCCGTTTCCCGCAGGGACCGGGGTTGGTTGTTGCTACCGTCATCTGAAGATCTACATTCTAGTCCAGGAGACGTGGTCCAGAACCCGAGCCAGGGTCCGGTCCGTTGTAGCTAACTCCCAGTGTGTTAGTGTAGTTAGCCGGGTGGTCCACCACCATAGGATGTTTTCTGGTAAAGGGACAGCTACCCCTTTGTGTATTCGTTTTGGTGTAATAAATGTGTTGCCTCTAAGAAGTACGTCTGCGACTCAGTTGGGCCCACTACACACGTATGAGAGGAAACCGGAGTAGCCCGGAAAAAACCCACGAGCCGCGGTAACGAGATGGTATCTCCCTTGCCTTTGTATGCAGGAGTGTGTGGGTTCGACCCCGACTCTGACGATGCCTGTATATTTGGAACCTGCGTGTTCTCTTTCCCTGTGGTTGCATGTATTTTCTGTGGATCCTCATGTTTCCCCTTCCATATTTAGAATTAACATGCGTTCAGAGTATTTGGTTTCTGCTATCGATTTCCACACGAGAAGCCACTTCATTAATTTGTTGCTTGGTCGCTTCTGAATAATAGCTCAGTAGGCTTTTCCTCGTAAAGTAAAACATTGTTTCTAGTTTTATAGAGTGGGTCAGCAGTAAATATTTGGACTGAAAATAGGAGAATGGTTCTCAACAACAATATGTATGAGACAGGGAGATCCACTATCACCAAATGTTGTTTGCAAGGAAGGACATTGAAAAAGAAGTAATAATTGAATGCAGCAACATTGTAAATGTAAAGGAATTTGTATACTTGGGAAGTCTACTGACATGGGACGACTGCACGGAAGACATACGGGTGTAATGCGAGCAAGGATTGAGGGGGGCGGAGTCTGGGTCACGTGAGGAGAGGGAGGAGTTAGGGTCACGTGGGGGAGAGGATTTAGGGAGAGAACCGGAAGGGATCGGGGAGAGAAGACGGAGTGGAAACGGGAGGAGGCCACGCTGGGCAGTACTGGGAGGGTGGCGCGATCGCCACGTGTTGGGAGACCTCGGCACCGTCGGCCATCGGTGTCCGGGCGCAGGGGGGCTAGCGGGCTGTGGAAGGCTGGCCGTGAGTGAGGCAGAGCGGAGCAGCAGTGTGGCTGCAGAGCGGAGCAGTAGTGTGGCTGCAGAGCGGAGCAGCAGTGTGGCTGCAGTGTGGCTGCAGAGCGGAGCAGCAGTGTGGCTGCAGAGCGGAGCAGCAGTGTGGCTGCAGAGCGGAGCAGCAGTGTGGCTGCAGAGCGGAGCAGCAGTGTGGCTGCAGAGCGGAGCAGCAGGGTGGCTGCAGGCGGAGCAGCAGTGTGGCTGCGGAGTGCTCGACGGAGGAGATGCGGGCCTGAGCGAGGACGCCGTGGGAGCGAGATTTACACGAACCCAAATAAAGGACAACGGAGATCGACACTGTGAAAGAGTCCCTTATTACACTGGTGTCAGAAGTGAAACGGCATGTCAAACAGCTCAGAAGAAAGAACGTCCCTGCACCATCTTCTGCAACATCTTTTGAAGACGACCTCCCTCCAGCGGTGGCGCTACCGACGATGGAGGGGGCAAGCGACGCAGGGACGAGCGACGGTCCGGGGGTGCAGGACATTGCTGCTTCGGTGGGTCCATCCACGCAAGTGGACGCCAACGAAGGATGGCGACAGGTGGCGGCCCAACTGGAGGCACTGAAAGCGGTGTTGGCGCAGCTGTGCGACCTCGTGACGCCGGCGACGACTTCGGAGAGGCCCAGCGGGGCCTTGCCGACGCCGTCAGCCCTCTCCACCACGCGGCACGAAGCCGCCATCTTGGGCGTGGCCGAGGAGGAACGGCGGGAAGCCGCCATCTTACGCCCTCCACCGCGGGGAGCCGCCATCTTTAACACGTTGCGGAGTGACGCCATCTTGTCGCTGCCGCACGAGTCACCATCAACGGAGGACGGCGGAGCAAGGACCCGCAGCCGTCATCTAACAACTGTTAAAGAGTTCTCCATTGGCGGAGATTGGAGCGCGTTCGCCTGCCATTTTCAAGCGGCTGTACGATCCGCCAAATGGACGGACGCGGAGGCCCTGGAAGTCCTGCCAACACTTCTCGACGACGAGAAGTGTTGGCAGGACGCTACAGGGGGTCTTTGAGGAAATAGCGGACGCGTATAAGCCTCCGGACGATGCTCATCGCAGATTCGTACAGCAGCAACGGGCGCCGGAAGAATCGCCGGTGGCATTCCGAGGCGCCGTTCTGGAACTAGCTATGGCTGCGTATCCTGAAACGGAGCCTGATTTGTTGGAACCCCTCATATTGGGCAAGATGCTGGAGTTATCTAGGGACTTGGGCATTCCCATGCTGGTGTGCGGCCATGATAAGTTGACGTCCCGTGTTGCGGCTAAGTGCTTGGATGCCCAATTTAACCTTCGACGGTGGAAACAGGTGTCGGCTTGGATGGGGGGCCCCATCGTCGAAGGCGGTGCTACAGGGTGGGACCCCAAGAAGGCTGTCTATGTTCCTGACGATAGGGGTCCGCAGGAGTTGACAGCCGCGTCCGCCCAGTGGCCTGCTCGAGGGGGAGCGGGGGTGCGCTCCGGGCCGCCGACGCGGGAGCGTCGGGACAGAGGGGGTGCTGCGCGCCGAAACGACTTGGAGTGTTTCCACTGCGGCCGTAAGGGCCACTTCGCCAGGGATTGTTGGGCTCGCATCCCGGGGCCGCCCCAGCAGGAAGCCTCTGCCACGGACGTGACGCGAAAGGACCATCCAGGACAGGCAAGTCGGTGCGCATCAGACACCCGGCAAGGCCTGTCACCTCATGCATCACCATCGCCGCGCGGTCCGTGTGTCATTAACAACGGGGGGCCGCCGATCGACCCGTGTCGCTTGCTGACGCAGTGGCGGAAATTGGCACGGAGGGTGGTTGTGGCCGCTACTGGGTCGTCCACTGTGCCTGGTTCTATTCAGGGGGTCGAGGTGTGCATTTTGGTGGACCATTATCTCAGATGTAATTTTTCATCTCTTAGGTATTCCGCCGGGAAGGGTGCGACCGGTTTATGACTCTTGCATAGCGGTGAACGGGGGAAGTATGGGCATTGTGGGCCAGGTGGACGCCAACATATCGATTGGGGGGGTGTCGGCTTCAGGGACCGTTTTGATTTCCAGGTCCCTCGCGGTGCCCTGTTTGTTGGGGACCGATTTCCTGGCAAAAATGCCCATTCAAATAAGGGTGAATCAAAATTGCATTGAATTGCCAGGGGGTCGGAAAATTTCGTTCTTGCCGTCGCCCTGGGGCAACTCTGCCCCTGTCTGCCAGGTGCAGGCGCTGTCCGAGGCATCTGTTGATATTCCACCTGGTTCGCAGATGTGCTCCGTTGAAGTATCGGAAACCGGTGCCTGGCATTGAGGGAGCGGTGGGTGTTTTGTTATCGCCGTCCACGGCTATAATGGGCGGCTCGGCGCTGGTCGGGGCACAGACGATTGTCCGGCTGGGTCAGCCTCCGTTTTTACAAGTGCTGAATAGGAGTGCGGATAATGTTAGCGTACCGGCCGGAACGGTTTTGGCTCACGCAACGACTGCTTTCACGGCCCATGACGACCCGGGCCGCCGGGACCTGGTAGGGGGGGTTTCGGCCCCCACGGGGCAGGATGATCGGTGGGTTGCCGAGTTGTGCAGGGAAAACTCATCCCTGACTGGGGAACAACGGTCCGCGCTTCGCGCGCTCTTGCTAAGCTATTCCGACGTTTTCAGCTCGGATGATTTTGATTTGGGACGCACCTCCTTGCTCTCCCACCACATTGATATGGGGGATGCCGCTCCGATTCGGATGAACCCGCATCGGTTGAGCCCGGCGGAGCGGGATCATGTTCGCGGCGCAGTGGAGGATATGCTGGCTGCTGACATAATATCCCCGTCTAACAGTCCGTGGGGCGTGCCGGTGGTCCTTGTGAAGAAAAAGGATGGGAAATTGCGGTTTTGTGTCGATTTTCGCAAATTAAACAAAGTGTCCGTGGCAGACGCGTACCCCCTGCCGCGTATGGATGATTCCCTCGATGCCTTGTCCGGGGCGAAATTTTTTTCGATGCTTAATCTCTCCTTGGGATTCTGGCAGCTTCCCCTGGATGAGTCCTCGAGGGAAAAG